ATTATGGAGAAGGGATTTAAAAATGGTCTTTCCATTTGGCCTGTTTCTTGCTCCCAGACCAAGGCACTGACTGCAGTACTGATGCATAACTTAAAAGCACACTCTCCTCCACTTGGTAATACCTGAGTTCTAAGTGGACACCCTGAAGCTTAGGACCTCCAGCCATACAAACAGTAAACTCTTTGTCTACAATTCAGTCACCTCTATATTTTCTGTAGACATTTGTTAGACTTTTGTTATATAAAAATACCTTGATAGTAAATGACATTCTCTTTCCCTTTCCCCACCTCTCTCTCTCTCTCTCTCTCTCTCTCTCTCTCTCTCTCTCTCTCTCACACACACACACACACACACACACACACACGTACACACATACCCTAGAGCCATTAGCTAATTTGGTGGGAAAGAGACCTTATTTGATTCTTTCTTCATATTTGATTCTGGCTCATAGAACTCGCAAGGGGAGAGCATTACCATGGGAGGACACAGAAAACACACAGGACTCTGAGCCACTCCTACCTGTGCCCCTCATTAGCTTGTAACTTAACTTTTCAATTTGGTCATCTATGCAACAGGATAGTAATGACTACCACCTATCTTTCAGGATAGGCTCAGAAGGGCAGCTAACCACTGTTTAAGAGCACAGATTTGGCCTCAGGCTGGATTATGCTTCAAATACTGGCCAGATCATTTCACTAGCTGTGTGGCCTTAGTAAAAATGTACTTACTAGAGTGTCTGATGCATAATAAATGTTAAATGACCAGTCCCTGTCATTTCTCCTTTGAAAATTGTAAAGCACTCCACCAATATTCATTTCTTTTATCTAAAGATGCACATAAGACATCCAATAATAGAATCCTCATCAAATGCTTTCTCAGTGTCCAGTATTATAACCTTCTTTATTGCCAAAGCCAGCCTGCCCTCCCCAGATAGGATGCTCGCATCTCCCACGTGCTTACAGAGGCAGACAGCCAGCCGTAATCCCTTTCAGTCTTTGAAGACTCAGCCAGCTGTAGCTGTTAATAACCTCACCACAGGTTATCCATCAGAAAGAAGGGAAAAAAGTCCTAATTACTCTAGTCAGAGATGTCATTAGTTATGTACATGGCTCCTATAAAGTCTGCCTGGCATTTATGCAAATGGCACACACCTCGAGAAAATGTTACCAAGGCAGACAAGTATTTAACCTAAATATTCAATAGCTCCCTACCACCTACTAATCCATGTCAAAGCTAATCTATCTTCAGGGAAACCTTTCTGATTCTCTATAGTTCTGACAGTTTATTTGCTCAAGCTATAAAATTTTTATTTGGATTCCATAGTCATTTCAATAAATCAAAGTTGCCTTTTCTCCCCTCCTGTGAAACAGTAAAACCAGATAAAATAGTTCCTGGGCTAAGTGATTCCACCTGATTACTATTTAATTTGTCAGAAGCACGCATCACTGATTTTTTTTTAACCCTATGACTGAAAAGTCTAGGGCCTTCTTTCTAAATGGGAACAACATCACTGGAATATTGGGTTTCATTATTAGCTAGTTTCTATTTAATCTCAGGGAAATCTCTAACAGAGAAAACCATATTATTTTCTCTCCAGGAATTTAATACAACTGCTACATTGTCTTAAGAGTGTGATATGGTTCAATTTCTCACGTTTATAAGCACTAACAGACACCAATTTGCAAATAAAATGCAGATATAACTTTAAAAAATAACACCTAGGATCTGTTATGAAAAATGTTCTATGCTGTGGTTAGACAGACATAAATAAAAACTACATGGTGTAGCTTTATTATCCCCTCAGACCAACATTCGAAAATGTCTACCATATCTTGTTACAAAAGATTTTCTGCACCTACGAAATACTTACATAAAATGACTGGAAGACTTTTACAGGAAATATCTAGTTTAAATAATTTATCATCAGAATGAGTCATGTAGAAGCACCAAGACTGAATTAACACATCCTTCATATGTAATGGAAATCCAATCTTTTCCCTGAGGACTCATCTAATTCTCTCTCTTTTTTTTTTTAAGGTAATTTTTGGGAGGATATGGTAAAACCATTTTATTATAGTAATGATATTACCAAAACAAGGACTTATTTAAGTGGTTTTACTTGGGTCATTACAAGTATTATAGGATTACAAGATAAAGGGGTGTGAGCTTCTGGAGATTACTAAGAAGTTGGTATAGAAATTCCTCATGCATAGAGAAAGGAGGTAAAACTTATTATTCTAAGCCAGAAATTCTGTAACTTGAATCAATCTTCATAGTCAAACAAGTATTTTAAATCTCAGAAATAGGAAATGATCAGGGAGCCCTCATCTGTGATCCATCAAAATCAGATAACCATCTTCAAAAATTTTATTGAATGTTAATAACATCATGTGAAGTATGGTTAACTCATTAATTTTCTAGCAGCTAAAAATGGCTAAAAATGTCCAAGATCAAAATATACTACACGCAATTACCTTAAGGTTAGGTTTGTTGTGAATTGAAATAAATTTGAAATATTTTTCCCAATTCCAATATTTAAGTAGTTAAAAATAATAGCATGTATCCCTTGACCAATATCTCCCCAATCCCCCTCCTCTCTAGCCACCCAGCTTCTGGTTAACTACCATTCTACTTCCTTTTTCTATGAGATCAACTTTTGTAGACTCCACTTAGGAGCGAAACCATGTGGCATTTGTCTTTCTGTGCCTGGCTTGTTTCACTTACATAATGTCTTTCACATTCATCCATAGTTACAGCTAGAAAGGGGGAATAAATTTCAGGAGATCTATTATATAGCAAGGTGACTATAGTTAGTGATGATACAATATATTCTTGAAAAATATAAAGACAGTGGATGTTATATGCCCTCACCATGAAAATGATAACTATCTGAGATAATGCATTTGTTAAGCAGCTATATTTAAATATTCCACACTGTGGATATATACCATGTTGTACAAGATAAACGCACACTGTTATCTGTCAATTAAAAAAAATAGCATGTAGCAAAGGCCCTTATCTTTTTAAGCATTTTGAAAATCTCATTGTAAAGAACAACAGCCAAGATTGTTTTTCTTTTTTCTGATAACGTCCGATTTTCCTCCCAGACATTAACTAAAAGTACCAAGGTCTATGATGCTATCCTTCGAAAGTCCATTAAGATAGGCTTTCCATGATTTCCAGTAGAGTTAACATGTGTCAACTCCTGTCCTGAGCAGGGCTAGCAAAAGGCCCTGCTGGGCTGGAATTAGAAAGCAAGTACAAGTTTTCAAAACAGGTGTTACTGTTGACATAAGCATTCAACATTCTGCTTGTGTGAAGCTCCTAAAAGAACAGGTACTTTCTCATTGTAATTTTTAATACAAATTTCTGTATTTCACATAAATGTATTCCTCAGAGAATTTCCAGAATAATATATAATCTGTGAGGTATGTCTCCTAGTATGACACCAAAGCTCACCCTCCAGTATTTGGAGACCTAATAGCAGAAGAAAGATTCACAGGCTAGACTTGGAAGTCACAAACGCAATTAGCCTGGGAGCTGGCCTTGCCTCTCTTTCAAGAGCGGCACAGAGGTAGTGGAGAAGTAAGACAAATCTAGAGGGAGTTACTCTGTGGTTCCCACAAATGCACAGCTGTCAAACTTACATCAAAGGATAAGGCAAAACTACATACCAGCATCAAAAAAGAGAGTTAAGATGAATGAGATCTTAAAGATTGGCCGACTTGGGCATTCTCCATGTTTATTGTGTCTAAGAATCACTTGGGACACTACAAACTGCCTATTCCAAGACCCATCCACTGAGCTTCTGATTCAGCAACAGCAGGCAATAATGGCAGCAGCAGTAATATGTAACACTTCTAAAGCTCTTGCTTTGTGCCAGACACTGTGCTATGTTCTTTACAAATGTCACCTTATTTAAGCCTCAAAACAATCCTATTGGGTAGGTACTTCTATTTTCCCTTGAGGAAATTCAAGGCACAGAGTGGTTAAGGCATCTGTACAAGTACATCCTGCTAGGAAGCGGAGGGATAAGGATTCGAACCCAAGCAGGTCAGCTTCAGAGTCTGAGCTCTTAATCACCACCCTGCACTACCCAGGGTCGTGTTTAGCGTAAGGCCTTGGGCATCAAGACAATGTCATGACTGAGTGGAGAAATTGACAGAGAAGTGAAGTCTCTTATCCAAGACAAAAATCACATGGTGCATTTCCAGGAAGAAATCAGCCATTATATGACACTAACTATTCTTGAATATTCCTCTACACATGTTCCCCTAGGGAGGAAAAGGACAGATTACATTATTAAAAGCCATCTTGTTGGTTCCTACTATGTTACTTTGACCAAGGTGCTATTCTGGGGCAGAGATTCCCATCGTTTTCTGCCCAACTCTGCTCACTCACAGAATATGATGCTCTCCAATCAGCATAATGGACTCCCAGTCATGATTCTCAAGGGAACGAAAGGGGAAAGGGGGCAGAGAAATGCCACCCCTACAAGGGAGGTGGTAACTGGAATGAGGGAGATTAGGTTCACATAATTTAAGGGAGAAAAAAATGTGACTCTCATATGCCTCCCAAGTATAATCTTTCTCCCCCACAAACTGACCATTCCAGTATTTCAGTATATAGTAAAATATTATTAGGTCTTTGCTTTGCTTTAATGTACACAGGTTGGCAAAATATGTATGATGATCAGATCTACTCCAAGCTGGAGCTATTCACATATATTCTCTTAACAGGTGATAAATGTACTTCCTAACAACATTTGATATGCAAGATGGGGCCAAAAATCTCATTGGTTTATAGAAATTGTCCCTTTTTTGCTGTTAAACAATCAAGGCGATTTGGAGGGACCAAAAGCAAGGATGATAACCATCTGTTCCAAATGAAAGATGAGCCAGCATGACCACAATGCAGAAGCATTTTCAAGATAACAAGTACTGGGGGTCAGAACGTGTTCCTGTCCCAGTGACGCACGCCGGTGGCCACGTCAAACCAACCTTCATCACTTCCACCTGCAGGTCTTCGTTGAGCGAAGGCGTCACTTTCACGGCATTCAGGATCTGATTGAGCAGCTGCTTCTCATCAGAGTCTGTTTCCATGGATACAAACCTCTCTTCCGACAGAAGCTTCTGTGAAGAGGCACAAGGCAGTGATCACAGATAGGCCCTCCCCTGCCGCCTTATTCTGTTGTATCTTATTACGTATTGATGATTATTTTCCTTACTGGGAGGCACATTAGCTGGGGGCCATTAGGAAAGAATTCATGCTCTGTGCCATTAAAAAGAAAAATGCATCCAACCTTGGGTAAACTGTTCTTGGCAAAGACCTTTTCCTGATATTAGATAATTCATTCTAAATTTCATGAAGTGAAATTCTAATGTGCTGGCCATATAGATTAGTTAGGGGATGGGGAATGAACATGCCAGTAGAAACCTAGCCCTGCACAATAGTCACACACACGTACCCTTTCTGAATATAGCCTCGTCGTCATAGGAAAGGAGAAGGTCTCGTAGACAACAAGTTCATTTTTTCAGGTGTTTATCTTTTTACTTCCTAATGTGAGCTGTCATTTATCTTGGAATTATTCATGAATCCAGAAATCTTAATGTATTTCCCCATCAGAAAACGAATGTCACAAAAATGTAAACAAGACGATATTCACTTTCATGAGGACTCCCAGGAATCCACGTCACAGGACAACCCTTTTCTATTTCTTATCTTTCATAAAATTCTTCCTCATATTGCACCCAAGCCCACATGCCTACAACTTCTACTTCTTCATCCTTCCCCAGAGCCACATGGAATAAGCTTCTAAAATGTCTGAAGTCAGCTATCAAGGCCACGCAAGTCTTTTCTGTTCCGTACTGAACCTCCTCAGACTTCTTCAAATGCTATCTAACAAGACTTCACTTGTGCTCTCTTGCCCACAGCCTGACCTCCAGACTGAACACAATACCTCAAGGGTGGCCAGTAACTCAAGAGGGATGTGTAACGTGACTCACGTTCTCAGGTCCAATGAGCTTAGTTGGTAATCACGGCACATTCTATGCTGCCCCACCCTGCGACCCCTAATTCTCATTCACAAGGGCTGCAGTGAAGCTGTTCTCCCATTCTGCCCTGGTGCAACTGATTTTTCAGACCCCACCATAGAACTTTATATTTAGCCCAGTTTAATGTGTTCTTTTCCAATGTGGCTTAGAGCTGCAGCCTGTGAAGAATGTTTGGAACTCTGATTCACCCAGTGTAATGACTCCCTCTTTTACCAGGCCATTGCAGATCTGGAAAACAAGTACTTCAAACCTGCATCCTTAAGACTCCCTAGTATTTTGCCATTATTCTTTCAAAAGGAATTTTTTTTAGAATCACATAGTACATCCAGGACAGCCCAGAGTTAAAGGTTACATACAAAGCTATTTTTACTTAAAATAATGAAGACAAGGAAGCCCTAAAAATGTGCTTACAGTTAACAGGAGGCAGCCGCGGATGGTGAAAGGAAGACTCACAGCCTACCAAGTCATTGAAGTTAACCCAATTTGGTAAGCCCTTAAAAACATGGTACTGCAACTGGGAATGTTGCAGGGTTAAAAACAAGAGAAGCTGCATGGAAAATCTATATGATACTATCAAGAGGAAAAAAGGAACAAAAGTGGTAGGTCAAAACAAATTCTCACTCATGTTTATGGTTGGCCCAGTTACCTTGGAGAAAAGCAAAAGGTTTTTAACAACATTATTGACAGTATTTAAAAAGTTCAAAAGTTGCTGCATATTAAAATATACATTATCTAATTCTAATCCACTGGGGGAAAAAAGAGCTGTTTTCTCACTCATTCTATGTATTAACTCTTAAAAGGAATTAAGGACCTCTCCAAACTTAAAAAGCTAACTATGAAATAATCTATACTGATGTGAAAAAACATGTGGCAAATGTCACCAATCCACAGCCATGCTGAACAAACCCCTGCAGCCTTCAACCTCACAGTGCTTGTCTCTTAGAAACAAAACCACTCTAAAAAGTTGGTGTATTTATATAGTCATCACCTTTTCACTGTGGGAATTAGACTCATTATGTTTGGTGTAAAACATAAACAAACAAATGCTCGGTGTGTTCAAGCACATCTGACTTTGCTTATTAAACTAAATTTCTTTTCTTCCCAATTTTTCCCTGGAAACAAAAGAGATTAATCTAACCCAACTGTAGAATTAAAAAAAAAAAAAAAAACTTTCCAGTTTACCAACAATTCTTATTTCATGGAACCACAAATGGTGAATGTATACAAAATTTGAATTCATGTGAACTTAGGGTCTCTTTCTTGGGATCCCTTATTTTCCTGAAAACTGGATGTCAGGAAAAATATTTCATATCTGTGTGGGCTTAGCTAGGTCCCCATGAATCAGTGTCTGATTACGAAGGCTCAACAAAGTAACACTGTACACAGAGAAATTCTGGGTGAAAATAAGAAAATCCTGTTATCCTCTATGGTTATTTCTTCGCTTAATCAAATTTCTGTCTGGATCTTTAAACAGCCAGTATTTAAAACGTTAACTATCTGCTCTTTCAATGCCAAAATGGTCTGTCAATTTCTGTCACCCCGTTGCATTTAGTCAAAGCCATACCTGCATCCCTGCCAAAGCGTGTTGGGCCAGCTTCACATTCTTGGATTCCAGAGCCAACTGGAGAGGCAGCAGGCATTTCTCCCTGGCAAACACATAAATAAGGACCACATGTGAGCTCAGCGAAGCTGGCAGTCAAGCGATATAAGCCTTATGTACACCCACCCTCAAACACCACCACACACATACACAAAAATAATATCCCAAAGTGAAAATGCATGGGGGCTTGAAGAAAGCACAGCAAAAACGTTTTGCAGACATGATAGCACATCAGCAGCTCGCCTTCTTCGTATGGCTACAGGAGGAGCAGACACAAGGATGTTCGTTAATTAGTACTTGGTACACTAATGAACAGACATTGGGACTATCACCGGTCCGTGACCATGCTTTGCTCTTTCCCAAATTAATGGCATTGCTCACACCCAGCACACACGGGGTGAACAATGCTAGGAAACACCATTTATGTAGATTTCTATGCCTTGCTTATACCTCTTCCTTACCTAGGCGGTAACTGCATCACCGCTGGCATTCTGCCCCATCAATATAAACTGAAATTCTATTAATTTGTCAATTCCTCCCCCCCTCAAAGTATTCAACAGTCATTTATACTACTAAAATGTGCTCTATAGTCTCCCTCCAGAGGTAGATTTAAATTTTGTGATAGGTTAATAAATATGTTTCCAAGATGGAAATACAAATGAATCACCAATAGCATTGGCCAATGAGAGGTACCTGGAGGCAACATTTCCTAGTGTCACGGGAGAGACTAAACCAAATACGTGGAGAGCTACTTGGATATTTTAAAGTTTAAAGAAAAACAGGGCACTAAAATATGTTAGGAATAAACTGAAAGAGTTACAAAGACAAAAATATCTTTGTGTTAGAAGCACCCACTCTAAATAATTAAACAATAGACCGAGAATTTTAATCAACTCCATTATTTCCCTACAGAGTTATACTGGCGCAAAAGTAAAATGTTACTTCATTTTGCCACCCACACTTAAACCAGAGCAACCCCATTTTTATCTGTTTTATATTTTCAGCATAAACTGAAAGATTCATTGATTTTAGAGAGTGTGGAAAGCCACAGGGTTAGACTATAGGATTTCATCTTTGGAGAAATAAGGGTCACTGTCATAGAACACGCTGAAACAGGATGTTAATTATAGCTCCTTTTTTTTCTTATTTATAAATTTAATCCTCCCTGTCCACCCAGCTTTCCCAGGGAATCTCCGTCAGCAGGTCCACCACAGATAAGGCGAGAGTCACAGACACTCCCCAATGCCGGCCACAATGACTGAATGAAAACAGACTCTAACAGGAAGAAATCTGTCTTCCCCATCCTTCTCATCTCTGCCCTCAACAACCCAATGTTACAATAGCCATTCTTATATGACAATTGATTAATACTATAGCCATTTTCATTAAATACATCCTTTGACAGATGGATATACCCAACTGTGTTACATCCAGTTGGGTGGCTATAACTTTGTCACTGTTATCTTATTGTCAGCTTGTCACAGTTACAAGACAAACACTGCTGTGCAGTTAATTAGAGCAGGAATAGCTGATTTTTCCAATTTTGTTTCTTTTGTTTGATCATAACCAGTTTATAAGCTTGGAAAAATTAATTGAAAGGGTAAAAGTAGAGTGAGAACTAGGAATCATATGCAGATGGAGAATTAGCAGAAATAGCAAAGAACTTCACATGTAAATTCTTGAAACAAATTTCCATCAGGATTAATTAATTGTGAAAGAACTTAAGTCTTGAATTTGGAGTCAGCTCTGCCAATGAGGGCACAGCACCAGGGACCAAGCTTAGAGGTCCAAAATTCTCACAGCCTACTAGCCCAGAGAAAGGGAAATATATTCAGTAGCTATAGTCTAAAAATGTATAAGTATTTACACATTACTCACCAAGGGCACCCAATAAGAGTGGATGCCACATTCAGCAGCAATAAAACCCCTTTTGGAAATGCTCAACCTGTTGACCCTTGGGAAGCAGCATTGTGTTTGCATATAAACTGCATGTCCGTATTACTCTGCCATCTGCAGTATTAGCCTTCAAAATCCTTATTCCACTCTCTCACCTGCTTCTGTGTTCACACAGTTGATATTGCTGACTTGAGCCAGGTTACTGACAAATGCCAGGACCACCAGGTTGCACCATGACTTCAGGAGACATCACCGAACTGCTCCCCTTGTAAGTCCTGGTCACCAGGCAGGACTGGTAGATGGAGTTGGTCCAACTGGGTTTTGGCTGAGTTGAATGGTATCAGTATTTAGTGAAAGAACATGGGCTGTGGAATCACATGGACTTGGATTCAAACCCCAATCTTTTATAAGTTGTAAAGTCTCAAGATACTGAACTCTGTTGGGTCTTAGCTCCCTTGTCCCTTAAGACCAATCCTGCAGGTTATAGCAAAGAGTACAGATAATATATATCAGGGGTTGTCAAACTTTTTCTGGAAAGAGCCAAATAATAAGTATTTTAGGCTGTGTAGTCCATATAGTCTCTGTCCTAACTACTTAACTCTGCTGAAGCACAAAAGCAGTCATATAAGTAAATCAATCAGCATGGCTATGTTCCAATAAAACCCCATTTACAAAAACAGGCAAATGGCCAGACTTAGCCTACAGGCTATAGTTTGCCGAGCCTTAATATAGACAAAGTACCCAAAACAGATCATGATTTTTAGTATAGGATAAGCAGATCTAACCTTTCATGTATCCAGAAAGATTCTGCACAGGACAGGGACGAACTGCCCCGGGAGGGTCTCAGCAGAAGCAATTATAACACCAAGATCTCTCCCAGAAAATACATGTTTTGAAGAAATATCACTACAGACAAAGATTTCATCTGGGAAACTAAACCAAGACACTCCATCCAACCATCCATTCAACCAATATCTGTGTTCCAGGCACCATGTTGGGTATTAGGGAAGATCTAACAAGGAACATGACAGAACAAGTATTTGCTGTCATTTGTATTCATGAGATGAAAGACAGAAAAAAGAAAATTAGCAGTTGTTATTTCTCTAGTCTTACCTATCACTATAACCTTAAAATAGGCATTCTTACCTTTGTTTTACACTTGAAAAAAAATGAAGGTTCAGAGAGGTTTTGTAGCCTGCCCAAGGCCACACAGCTAAAATGTGTTGGAGACAACTCAAATCCAAATCCATTTGACTCTCAAGACCAAGTTCCTTGCAACCTCCTTTGTTCTCAAAAGATCCAGAGCAAAGCTAGAATAGATGTGCTTCTTAATCTTTTTTGGTTCACAAACACAAAATAATCTGTCAAAGGACCCTCTTCTTAGAGGAGGGCACATATCATTTCAGGGGATTCATGGGTCCCCAAACCCCAATTCCACATAGATCCCGAGTGAAGAGCCCCTGCCCTTAGGGGAAAAGGCTGTGCCCAGCATTCAAGGTAAGCATCAGAGAAGAGGGTCATATTCCCTGGCTGGGCTTAGGGTCCCATTAGGATGGCCTTTGTATTGCCACACTGAGCCCTGGGCAGAGAGGTAGCTCCGTGTGTGTGTGTGTGTGTGTGTGTGTGTGTGTGTGTGTGTGTGTGTGTATGTCTAGGAGGCGAGGAGGACTACCAACTCTCCTTAGTATCCAAGGCCTGTCATCCCCTCAGACCCAACAGCACCCCACCCCTCTGCCCCGAGTATTGTCACAAGCTTCGGATCCTGGCTTCGACTGAAAAGGAACACGTGTGGAAATGAAGGAAACATATGGCGCATAACTACTTTTGTTGCTTGCTCTGTGATATCATAAAAACCTGCCTGCCTTCATTTCTTTAAAAAGTGATTATAATGAAAGAGAATAACAGGCCTGTTCACTGGGTCTCAGGATAAAATTTATAATGAAGATGCAACATGGCACACGCTCAATCCTCCCTGCACCTCCTGTATTAGAATAAATCATCTTTTGATCTTTCTGGATGCTGCCTTATTGGGAAAGGGCAAACCAAACACCAACTTTCAATTAAATTAAGCGATTATATTTTATGCACAGGCACATGCAAATTCATTCTTGCCTAATCAAATAAAGGCAGTGGCCCCAGGTTTCATGTCCCGACATGCCATTATTTCTTTAAGAATAATTATGTCTTGTACACATGAGGAAGACATCATCTGCGCCGTGGCACTGCGTCTGGTCATGTCAAGGAGACTGAACCTATTTCCTTAACTGCATCGTCACGGTTCACAGACCAGCTTTAAGAGGCTGGAAGATAACAATGGACAAAGGGAAATTAAAATAGGTGAATAGGGGAAGAGTTCGGATTTAATAATTACCTTTCAACACAAGTACAAATATGAACTTCAAGTGAAACCAAATATATTCCTGAATGTTAGGCTGATTCCTCTTTAATGCCCTGAGTGGCAAGGAACATGAAAATGCTTACATTGCTAAGGTCTGCTTACATGCTACACCTCTAGGATTCTACGGCCATTTATTAAATAACTACATTTCTTCACATAATAACCATGGCTGTGGTTGAAATGGCTTCTTTGTGACTTAATATGTGCAAAGTACCACGCTACACGTGTTCATATTTACTATTTTATTTAATTATAACTTTCGAAGGTAGAGATTTAATTGTCAACAAAACTGAAAATAAGAGAGATTAGGTTACTTATCCAAGGTCACACGTTTGTAAATGTCCATTTTTAAAATCCATGTCCTCAAGCCTACACCACAGTGCCTACAGGGGTAGACAGGTCCCCATCAACTATGCATATGACTCACTGCTTTAAAATGGCAATTCAAATGTCCAACAGGTGAAGAGTAGAAACGGACCTCAAACAAGTAATGTAAGTCATCTTGAGTGATAATTCATGAAGCAATGCGTTCTATTTGACAGTTGGTGTGTAGTTATAAGAAGGTGCAGGCAGTTTGGGTATGTGGAAAAAATCTGGCTTTGGAACCAGCTGCTGGGTTCAAGCCACAGCCATACCCTTCCTAACTTGAGTACAGAAAGTTTTTCACTCCCCTTGTTGTGACACTTGGGAT